AATTGCTTCACTGTCATCTAATTGACAGATACCAGACAATTCCTTGTTTAGCAGTGTAATTGAACCTACCTGAAGGTTGTTATTTCTGTGTCAGAGCCTGAATCCTAATCGATATTTAAACCAGGAGAGACCTTAGTAGGATTTTACCTGTGAACTTAATTTACTGCTCACCTTACCTACCATTGCAGCATCAGAGAAAAGACCATTGAGGTCACCATGTCTGAACTGGTTGAACAAAATGGCTGCCTATTTTAGTCCCACTTACTAGCACCTGATCCATAGCCTTGTAAGTTGGTATGTTTTGGGTGTAGATCCAGATTCCTTTTAAGTCAGCTCAGCATTTCCACCCTAACCATCAAACTGGCCAGTGAATTTCAGTCATGCACCATACTTTGAAAAGGTTTTTCCTCATGTTCCTTCTATCATTTTAAATCTCGATCTCGCCACGATGGGCAACAGGTACTCTCTGTCCACTCTATCCAACCCCCTCATTATTTTTTACACCTTTATTGTCACCCCTCAAGCTGCTCTGTTTTAAGGAAAACAGCACTAGCCAACTCAGTCTTTACTCACCAGCAATTTTCAAGCTCAGGCAACATTCTAGTGAATCTCTCTTTGAAGTCTCTCTTGGACAATTATGTCCTTTCTGTAATGTGTGAGCAGAACTGTACACTCAGCTCCAGTTGTAGCCTATCTAATGTCTGATTATTGTTTGATTATTACATCCCTGCTCTTGTATTCAGTGTCTCTCCCAATGAAGGAAAGAATCCCACATACCACCTTATCGCTCAACCCTAACCCTAACCCTAACTCGGGCATAGTCCGTGATTGAAATGTGCACCCCATAACTGACCCAGCCTTGCAGCCCTTCTATATCCAGTCTTGAATTGTGGTGGATAATTAAACAACTGGAGCAAGAGGAGTAGGCTCCATAGCATAATGATGGGAGAGTCCAGCACATGAGTGCAAAGTACAAAGTTAAATTATTTGTAACCATTTTCAGTCAGAAGTGCCGAGTGCATGACCCATCCCAGCCTCCTCCTGATGTCCCCACCATCACAGATGACAGTCTTCAGCCAATTTGATTCCCTTCATTTGATATCAAGAAATGGCTGACACACTGGATACTGCAAAGGCTATAAAACCTGTCAACATCCTAGCAATGAAATTGAAGACTTGTGTTCCAGAAGCAGTGAGCCTCTAGTCAAGCTGTTCCAATGCATCTGTAGTACTGACTGATTTTTTTTTTGCGGGGATTGTCTTTTGAGTAAAAGTATAGTTACCGTAAACTTAATAATAATTTTTGCCTATGTACGGTCATGCATTTTAAAGTTTTTCCTTTTCCCAATCCATCTCAGCCAATTTGCTCCTCGTAGCTTCACAAGTTCCTTTGCTCAAATTTAACACCCTGGTTTCAGATTGAACTACCTTACTATCAAACTCATTGGCCCAAATACTCTCGTGGTGCAAGAGTCACTTCTGCATCATAGACTGAAGTTGTGTGTCAGAAACATTCGGAATCGTTAACGTTGCAGAATGCATGACAGTTACCAAGGGCATTGAATGTTCATACAGGTGTGTTTCCTGTGTCTGGATCCCTTGACAGACTCCACAAAAGTTGGAGAACTTGAAGCATTCCGATTTACCTTTCCAGGGTAACTATTAAGCTTCAGTTAGAGCATCAAAACTCTAAATACTAACTCCTCAGAAGTATTAAACTGCTGACTCACCGCTGAATTCCCAGCTACATCCCCTCCATTCCCTTATGTATGTTGGACTCTTGACAAGCACTGTCCCTTCCTGAATTAATTCCACCCCACTCTTGACCCAAATCTACTGGACCAAACACCTACCATAAACTAGATATGTCCTCTGCCGCAAGCCTGTGACGCCCTTTGTTGAGCTTTTAGAACCAACAGCCTTTCCTTTCAACTGATCCCCAAGCTGACTCTTTACTACTGCCAACCCACACCTGCTCCTGCCTCCAACCCCTCACTCCCCTAGCCTGAATATGCTTACCTGGCAGCCCATCCACATGGCATGTTGCTGACCTTACCAATTTGGCACCCTTCACCCCTTCCTAACCTGGCACCCTAACCTCACACCTTACATACTTACCCTTTCACAGGAGCTGTCAAAGTGGCTGGCTGTGCTACAAGACATTTAACTCACAAAACTGTTGCAAAATTGAGTGTGGCTTCCGTGCTGATTCTCTCTGTTGCTCGATATGTCAATTCCTGGACAGTTTTGTTCAAGAACTTTGAACGCAGAAGAGACCTAAAGGTAAATGGATCATTTTTAATCTAATCAGGGTTGGAAATAGTTTCCAAACCTGATGAAAATATCTGGGCCAATGTAATATTCTATTACTTAGTCATCTCTTAGCCCAAAAAGTTCTCTTAGCAAAGATTATTAATCAGTCCTTTTTTTTGTTACATAGTACTTGATCTAAAATAGCCTGCTCTCTTGTTTGTTCCTCATAATCTGTTCTCTAGTTGGAAACAGAGAGTAATGGTTAATGGATATTTTTTTGTCTGGAGGAATGTTTGTATTGGAGTTCACCAGAGGCCCCTTGCTTTTCTGATACATATTAATGAGCAAGACCTTGGTGTATGAGAGAGATTTTTACAAGTTTGCGAATGATTCAAAACTTGGACACATTGTAAACTGTGAAGAGGACGCTGTAGAACTTCAAAAAGACATTGATAGTTTGGAGGAACGGAGAGATAGTTGGCACAAGAAATTCAATACTGGGAAGTGTGAGTTGTGTGTTATGATCCCAGCTGACAGTAATCCTGAACAAATCAGATCCCATTGTGAGGCCCATCTTGATAGATCAGAAGTTTTATTTTTGCTATTGTCACTAATGTAAGTGTCACTACATATTTTCAAGAGGCTGCTAATGTACTTTGAACAAAAGAATTTAAGGGTTAATTATTGCAAAAATAAAAAAAAGCTAAATCAAATATTGTGTTAGACAAGAATGATTTCTTATGGTCTTATTAAATATATCGGAAATCAAGATTCAACCTTTTACCCTTACCAACAACTTTACAGAAGCTCAAATAAAACAAAGAACTATGAATGCTTAGTTAAAGACAAAAAAAAAACTGCAGATGCTTGAATCCAAGGAAGGATAATACCCCAAACGTTGACTGCTCCTTTCCTCCAGATGCTGCCCGGCCTGCTGTGTTCTTCCAGCCTCCTGTTTGTCTACTGTGAATGCTGAGCTGGTCTGGCAGCATCTGTGGAGAGAAAGCAGAGTTAATGTTTTGAGTACAGACTTCTGGAGAGTCACTGGGCTCAACATTAACTCTGTTTTCTCTCAACAAATTATGCCAGACTTGCTGAGTTTCTCCAGCATTTTCTGTTTTTTCTTACAGACATTCAAAAATTAGTGAATAATCTCCCTGTCTACAGGTTAAGGTTTCTTGTCCAGTTGGCATAACTATAATAGGTTTCTGAAACCTTTTTTACTGACTGCTTAAAAGCTTTAAGAACAATCACATTGTTTTTCCATATCTTTTACCTTTAAGCAGTTTTTTGCTTCTTGAGTTTTCTTCTAAGCCATTCAGCTCTTTAGGAGAGCCAGTACAGACATAATAAGCCACATGGTCTCCTCCTTTTGTGATTGTGCTTATGCTAATTTTGGATAGCACTTAAAAATTTTTTTAATTAGGTTACAGAGAAACAACTTTGAATGAAAATAAATTTAATTGGAGATAGCATTACATGAGGAGACACAATATTACATTTGAACTACCTTGAATTTACCCTTGGCCTCATTCTGTCATTCTCTTGACTGTCAGAGAAAAACCTAATTCAGAGTGAATGAATAATCTCCATGTGATTGCCAGGCAGCAGATGCTGAATGCAGTTTTACGGTATTGATGCAGTCTTCCTGTTAAAGTAGTTCTGAGCTGACTTGTCCAATGGATCACTAAGGAATACTATTACTGCTGTTGTGGTTGAAGTCATTTACTATGCCCCAACGGAATATTGAGCTATGAAAATATTTCCAAATAGTTTAATTTATATGAAGAATTATTTAGGCCTGTCATTTTATGTTGAATAAACTTGCCATGCCTTATTAATTGTCGAGAATTTAGTGGCACAACCAAATATAGCTTAGGCTTAATGCTAATTACTTCATTTTAGAGAATTCCAAAGCATTGAATAATTTTAAAAATGAACAGAGAGTGGACTGCATTACAGTGATCCTAATTTTCATGGTACTGTGTAATTAATTGCTATTTTATAAAGTATGTGCAATAACAATTTATTACATAAAACCATTTCAGTGATCATTTCTAGCTAAGTATGTAGAATGTTGACGTAGTAGTCTCATTTCTTAGTTTATTGCTTAAAAATAATTTAAATGCATTATCTACAGATCCTTTATATAACTGATGATGGATGTTAAAGTGAACATTTTGGGGTCAAATTAAATATTCTGTAATGTAAGAAGCTGGTGTATCTTCAAGTATTAATTCACATCTCATTAGAAAATTTTGCTGTTTCACAGGTTTTGACTTTGGTTTAGTTTTCCTTCTCGTACAACCAAGTAATCAAGCTGAGCTCATGCCAGCACATGAATGGCATTTGTCATGAAAGGCCAGAGGGAAGAGAATTCTGGGAATGGTTACTGAGACTGATTCATCATGTTTAAGTTCAGTTTTAGCAGGTGGATGCCATTTGTAGCCAAAGGCTCTTTTGGGTGTGAAAGATTGGTGGAAATACTAAGCAGCTGTCCAAGGTGAAATCACAACATAAATTGCCTTTGTTCAGTTAACAGAAGCAAATGTTTCATTTTGACATTAACCATTTTGCTTAAAATAGTTCATTCCATATGTTACCCAAATATGAAAACAAATGGTTTGTCCAGGTTCCTGAAATACTGTGATTGCCAATTAATGCGCTTAAAGCGATATGGCTCTGCAAAAGTAATTATTCTTCCAAGTTAGCAGACATCTGTAATTTTCTTTTCATCTTCTATACAGATGCAAGACAAAAGTCTACCAAGATGATCTTCCAGACACGAGTGTTGTCATTGTTTTTCATAATGAAGCCTGGAGCACGCTGCTTCGCACAATTCACAGTGTTATCATTCGTTCACCCAAAAGGTTACTGACTGAGATTATCCTAGTGGATGATGACAGCGAAAGAGGTAAAATCAATCTTTGATCCATAACAGTAAATATTGTGATGAGAAATATCATTGTATTAAATCAAGGATAAAAATGTTGCTCATTCAATAATTCAAGTAAGCTTTGACAGATGAGCTAATGTTTAGTCTTGTTATATTTGAGTCTATTTATTCATTAACAAAAGGTGAAGGATCGTATTTGTTGTGCATGGTTCTGTTTTTGCCACCTCTACAGTTGAAGTTAAGATGCAAGTCTGATAACCATACAATATGATTAATCCTGAATGTGATCCCTTGAATCCATTTTGCTTCAGTTTATCTCATGGTAATATTGATGCATGCTATATTAGCATTGATGTTTTGCTAGCCACCAACAGATTTTGTGGGACTAACTGGGTAAGCAGCAATTTCAAATAGGAGATCTGCAATGCTAACTCTGTACCCAAAGTTGATCATGCTGTGAAGTGGATGGAAGCAGAACTATGAGGCTTCGATTCAGTTGTACCATCTAGCTTTTGTACCATATGGGCTACCATTTCATGGCTAATTTCAGAAAGGACTAGACTGCCATATGGGTCCTTTGAAGGCAAGGAAATGGTGGGATGCTTGGGTGCTGAAACTTAGAAACTCACTGAGAGTATACTCATGCCAGAGTGTATCAGGCAGTTGTGTGACTGGCAGCTTAGTCCGAGCAGTAGAGACCCACAGAATCTTGCTTTCGAATAAAGCAAAATCTGCAGAGCATCTCAACCATAGTCTGTCAGTGACTGTCACTGTCACTTCTGTTTTTAATTTCAATGCGTGGGGCAATTGTAGGCTTCTACAAATAACTGCTGACACATGCATTAAGCAAGTTACAGATGCATTATAATGTAGACCTTGCAAATGCAGCACGTTCACACATTCACAACCAGGAGAAAAATGATTGAGCACTAAACTTATAGAGAGTGACAGAATTTCCCTAAGGTGCAAGGAGTTGCCATTTGTACGATGTGGTCAATCATCAGCAGTAATCAATTCCGGTTTCTCAATGTGCAGCTTATTAACGCTTGGCAATATTTCATAATTGACCCCAATCAACCTTGATGACATACACAGATGGAAATTTGTCTGTGAAAAATTTTTGACTTAAAAGACTACCAAGCAGCTACAATGTAGACCTGAACCAAAAGGTCCACTTGTTGAAAACTGATTCCTGCTGGAGGCACTGTGTACACTGTACACTTCTCATTCTTGCTACTGACAAGCAAGAGTGTATGATGTTACTGGCAACTGGACTTCTGCTCAAACCATTAGGAATTAAGATGACACTTAACTTGCAACAACTAACTTGAGATGAAAATGCTGTAATCTGCACCTTTTGTGGTGCTGGATGGACAACAGGGCCCCATGTCCTCTCGTCCACATTTGCAGACATTAGAGAGGGTGGGCCTACATGTGCTCCCATTCAGAGGCACAGCACATTATGTGACCCTACTAGAATAGATATGTGGGAGAGCAGTATGATCATCAAAGCCCCACGTGATGTTCATTGATAAGCTTGTTCCTTTCTCAAACGGAAGAGAGTCTTTTCTCTCATGACACTTGAGACACCAATGGCAAAAGTCAAAGCATTTTTCAGCCCTTAGGGCCAACATTATGCAGAGCCTTCTGAAGAAGTCCCTATTAGTAACATACATATCACCCTGAGTGTCAGACTCAGATGACAATTTGTCAACATAAAGTTTCTTTGAACCGTGATGAACATTTGATATGACCGCAAGTGAGGACGTAGGGAATGGTGCAGTGGAGCTAGCAGCAGTAATGGGGGTTATGGGAGTAATTGAGTTGCAGCATTAAAAATCTACAATTATTATATACTTCCTATGACCTCTTCAATAGCATCGACCTAGGATTTACAATATTTCCTCCTTGTTTGATCTAGACAGTGCAGGATTGGGCATATTTCACTCAGTGTCTTCCTTTTGACACAAAAGCATATATTGAAAGTTATCTTTGACATAATAAACTAAAACATAGAAATCAAAACCTAATGTCTGATAACAAATATATGATAATGTGTAGCAAGCAATTAGATTCTGCATAAGACTTTTAATCAGGTGATTTCATGTGACATGGATGGCGAGAAACTGGGAAAGCAGTTCAGTAGTCTTTACTCACAAGACCCCACCACCAAAGACATCTTTCCCTCCCCACCCTTATCTGCTTTCCGGAGGGACCACTCTCTCCGTGACTCCCTTGTCCGCTCCACGCTCCCCTCCAGCCCCACCACACCCGGCACTTTTCCCTGCAACCGCAGGAAGTGCTACACCTTCCCCCATACCTCCTCCCTCACCCCCATCCCAGGCCCCAAGAAGACTTTCCACATCAAGCAGATGTTCACCTGCACATCTGCCAATGTGGTATACTGCATCCGCTGTACCCGTTGTGGCCTCCTCTACATCGGGGAAACCAAGCGGAGGCTCGGGGACTGCTTTGCAGAACACCTTCGCTCGGTTCGCAATAAACAACTGCACCTCCCAGTCGCGAACCATTTCAACTCCCCCTCCCATTCCTCAGACGACATGTCCATCCTGGGTCTCCTGCAGTGCCACAACGATGCCACCCGAATGTTGCAGGAACAGCAACTCATATTCCGCTTGGGAACCCTGCAGCCCAATGGTATCAATGTGGATTTCACAAGCTTCAAGATCTCCCCTCCCCCTACCGCATCCCAAAACCAGTCCAGCTCGTCCCCGCCTCCCTAACCTGTTCTTCTTCCCACCTATCCCCTCCTCCCACCTCAAGCCACACCCCCATCTCCTACCTACTAACCTCATCCCGCCCCTTTGACCTGTCTGTCCTCCCTGGACTGACCTATCCCTCCCTAACTCCCCACCTGCACTCACCTTTACTGGCTCCATCCCCGCCTCTTCGACCTGTTTTTTTCCTCTCCACCTATCTTCTCCTCTATCCATCTTCTATCCACCTGCCACACTCTCCCTATTTATTTCAGAACCCCCTTCCCCTCCCCCATTTCTGATGAAGGGTCTAGGCCCGAAACGTCAGCCTTTCTGCTCCTATGATGCTGCTTGGCCTGCTGTGTTCATCCAGCTCTGCACCTTGTTGTCTCGGATTCTCCAGCATCTGCAGTTCCTACTATCTCTGACTCACAAGATCTGTTGAGTTGATACTTGCTGATCAGAAGGTTTCTTCTTGGCTTTACATCTTGGAATGTTTCCACTGGTTTGCAAGAGGAACAGAGTGGCTGGGTCACTTATAAAATGTCTCTGATTTATCAATTAAAAGTTACAGCTTACAACAACTGTTGAAGGGAAGATAAATTATTCTCTTCAGGTTTAAAGTAGGTTTTGACAGCAGAGAACAGAGAGACAATTCCTGAGCTGATGGAGATCTGATAACTTCTCTGAAGCTTGTTCCTTGCTCCAAACTGTTCAGTTGCCTGAGAACCAATCACACAGTTGTTGGCTGGCAAAAGGCCTTTGTCATTGATAACTGATCACTAGTCCATAGACCTATCAACTTCTTGTTGACAAGCAAAGCTCCATCTGAATTTAGAACTCTTTTGCCTTGTGCAGAATCTAATTGCTCATCTGTAATTTGAATTTCAATTACTGATGTTCAAACAGCTGTTTGCATGATACTTGCCACGATTGACAGATTACTTGCTTTTGAAAACATGCAGCAATCCTTACAAAACACTGGTTTTAAAACGAATATGGTCTTAAAATGCCTTTTAAGGAAATTACCCAATCTATTCCAGCCAATTCACCCCTCATGTTTGCAGTTTCCTATGTTTAGATTTAAGATGTTAGCTTTGATTTGGACCTTCACATTCTATTCCAGTGAAGAATTCAATCAGGTTAGGGTCAATTTTCCCCTCACAATGAGATTAATTTTTAACCTCTTCTCATTGCACAAAAACATATCTCAAATAACCTGCTCCCGAGGTGTTTCTTCAAAGTACCGTTCTATAACTTCACCTTTTACACACTCCAGGAATTCATCTGCTACAGTACCATTGCAATTTTAATTTGCCTAGTTGATATGTTGTTTAAGTCACTCATGGATATCCCAATATCTTTGTTGTATGCATCTCTAATTTCTTGTTTAATGTTACTACTGTTTAGAGGCCTATAGTGAACTCCCACTAATGTTTACTGCCTCTTGTTGCCACTTAGCTCAGCCCAGACTGATCCTACATCGAGATTTCCTGCATCAGTAACCTTTCTCACTATCGCATGATTTCATCTTTCAATAACAATATCACCTGGCCTCCCTTTCCACTTGGCCTTACTGATCTCCCTAAAGATTGATTACCTTGGTAATTTCAGCTCTCAGCCTTGGTCACTTCACAGCCATGTCACTGTAATCACTGTTGTATCATACCAGTACACAACTATTTGTCTTGTTATTTCATTTATTATATTGCAAATGCTTCATTCATTCAGCTATGGTACCTTCAGACATGCTCATTGAAACTTTTATATATCTTTCTCTGTATCAAGCCCTATTTGCTGCTGGCCCTTTGCTTTCCACTTTTGTTCTACTTTTCTATCTTTCATTTCTATTCTTTGTTTCCCTCACTGTTGTCTCTCTGCTCAGGTTCCTGTCCCTTTGCCAATCTATTTTGAATCCTTCCACACTGTGTATTAGCAAGCACCAGTGTGAGGATATCAGTCTGGCTTCTGCTGGAGGTGCACAGAACACAGGCCAGGAGATCCTAACCACTCACTGCATAAAACCGTTCTTTTTCATATTCTTTTGCCAATTGGTGTACTCTGATGGAAGGGTGGAAAATCAAATGGAATAGCTTTTGCTTATCTACTCTGTCCAGACCCTTGATAACTTTAAACAAATCTATCAAAATTCCTGTCAACCTTCTCTTAAGAACAATCCCAGCTTTGCCACATCAGTCTTTGTAAGTGAGGTCTCTGATCTTTGGAACTATTCTAGTAATTGTTTTCTTCACCCTCTCCCATGCCGCCTTATCCTTCTGACAGCGAGGTGCCTAAAATTGA